CAATTATTGCGCTTCATTTATTGTATTCAATTATTGCTCTGGTATGTACAAGAAAATGGCATCATGTAAATGGGCCTTTACACTATATCTATTAGCGCGCTAGCTTATATAGATAGGGTATAGGTAAATAAGAACACAGCGTAAATCACTCCTGACAGCATAAATTCTTATAGAACCTGGTGAGAAGTATCCACTGCTCTGTATCTGCAGTGTTTGCTCTTTCCATTGACCACATCCAAATCCCTAATTAGCATCGAAGTTTATTGTTTCTAGTTTTCACTCAACTGATTCCCCTATCTAAACAAAAACACCTGCGCATTGTTGAGGGTGATTTGGAAGCTATAATCATTTAAATAACTGCAACAAATTTAACTTAGTAACAATGATAACGTAATTAGTATAGTTACTTCTATAAAGTATACCAATGTTTATTGAATGGGAGACAGATGATGAAATAAGGTAAAGCTAAACTTTGAGTCGTTCTAACGAAATAGTATTAATTATCTATATTTATTATTTATTAAAAAGGAAATGTTCGTCAGTTTGTGAGGATGTAGGGGTAGGTAATCTGATAATTATTTTTCCAATAGAAGCTATGTTATTCGTGAGTGTCATGTCATGTTGAATGACTCTTTCTTGGTAGTTAAATGTGCAAAGTAAGTCTGTTACTTTTGTTTTGCTACTTTATGTTACAAGGTATTAAACGCCAATCTAATTAAGTGTGTGTTTTTAACAATTAGCGTTTCTCCTTTATACTACTCTTATCGTAAGTTGATAAGTCACTGTGTGCTAATTTAGAAGTATATAAAATAGCATAAAATCTCCTAAGATGACACTCGGAACATTATTATATTACTCAACATATTATGTTGTTTCACTTGATTCAATTTAAAGAAAAATTGAGTTACGAAGTTTTGAAGCGATCCCTCATATTTTAAGTTTTTAAGTAACTTATTATACTCCAAGGTTTAAGTCATCAATTTTAATACAAACTTTCTTGTTTTAATAGATAAGACAGGAAAATTGGATTATTAAGTATTTATTAATCGAAGTTTTTAAATATGTTTCATATAATTTAAAGTAACGTTAAAACCTTAACACTGTTATTTAACAAAAATTCATAACTTTATAAAACTCAGTTTTATATTAAAAGACCCTTCAGAAAAGCAAATTATATTGTATTAGTAACGTGTAGGTTATTTTCTGGTAATACGTAGATAACAAAATATAATGTCCAATCATTTAGTAACTACTGTTTTATCTTCATAATATACGAGTATAACAAGTATATGTTAAGGAACAGCTTAAAGTTTAAAAAAAATGATAACGAGACAACCTAGTTAGATTTAATTTTACAAGACTAATTATGTCGGTTATAAAATACTATATTGAAACATTATGAAAGCTAATCTAAATTGTCACAACTTGACAAAAGTACTCGTATAGTAAATTTTCTACGTCACAATTGCTTACATAGAAGATTTTCGCAATCGATTATCCCTTTCGATCTTTCGTTTTATACTATTATGATTGAATTGAATTGAGTGTATCGTCCACAAGTACTGTAGTGTAAAAGTACAGTTATGATACGTTTGATATAGAACAAAATACAAGTGTAGTAGTGTAGTAAAATATACTCATACAAAGCAACGCCTCAACTTGAGAGCTTTGAACATAAGAGGCTGTAAGGCTGTATTCATAAGGTACACTAACTTGAGAATTGTGTCTCAATTATGCTCGGGTCTTGGGAGTTTTTAAATTGAAGCATGAAGAAATAGTATCGATCGAAGTCTGCAGCCTCGTTCTTACAAGGTCATGGCAAATGGTCATGTAGCGCCACGAACGAGTTGCCTTAAGCAAATTTTCAGAATACATTACAAAATATAATAAAAACTTGAAACTTAGAAATAGGAAAATTTCTAGCTTGTGAGTCATATTTCATTTCTATGTAAGTGGTGGTGTGTCATAGATTAGCTGTTATTTTGAATAATTAATAGAATTGCACTGTTCAAAAGGAAAATTCTAGGTTTCTACAGTAATCATTGTAGAAAACATGAGTTGCTAAATACCTATATCTTTTCATGTATTTGGTGATATCTGCATCTGTTAGAGTTTTTATAAACAGATATAATATAGACGGAAATAGACATTCTTTTGTATTTGGATTAAATCAAATTTATTCTTTGATATCTTAAATCTTCAGATCAGATCAGTGCGAACCTTGTCCAGGTTATATTCTGGTGTAACAACTTAATTCAAATTTTTCGTTCGTTCATAATTGTCCAAATTAGTACATGGTTTATGTGATTTCATAAAGAAAAATTATTGATTATGTGTCTGTGGGTTAGTGATTAAAGCATAAGATTCACTGTGTCAGATACAGAAATCTCCCATTGGGGGTTTCGAGACTTCGAACTAACAAAGATCATTTTGATACATACGTTAACATTTTGTTTTCTTTTTCCTAGTATGTAATTCATATAAACTTCTTGACTCACTTGATTTAATATCCTACAACCTCAAGATGGGGCAGAGGGCGTTCACACTGAGTTTCCTTCGCCTTCGGTCTTGAGCCTCGTATGTCACCGCTCAAGTCACGTCTCTCTTCACCTTGTTGAAAAATCGTTGCGTTAAAATTTTATTTTATTATTTATCTACACATTATTTTAAACTCGGAATAAATATAACGCAGCCTAATAAAGCGCACAGCTGCGCAGTGCTACCGGTTTCTCGGTCGACTCCTGCGCATCGAAACGTACTCTTATTATCATTACCGTGTTGACTCTTAGAATATTATTTTCTTTAATGTTTTTTTGTTTCCATTTTGGGCAACAAATGTGAAAGTTCGTAACACTAGTTAGTGTTAAGTTTATCTAGACTCTGGAAAATAATTATCCGAATTTTATAAAGAATACCGTTTTTACGTTTATAATATTGTTTTAAGTCTTAATTAGAAATGTACTGTTATTATATGTATCCTTATATATCTATAATACCTATTTTAGTCCATTCATTCGTTTATATTTATAAAAATTCATCTTACGCTCCCCGCCTATTTTATAAAAATATTAAAATAATATTACATAATTTTATATATTATTTATGCTTCACATGTAACATTTAAAGATTATCTATGTATTATTAACCTAGAGTTCAAACTAAAAAATACTTTTTGAAAATGCACTGAATAAACATATTTCTTATTTCATTCAAAATAAGTACAAATACTTGAGTAATAGTTTGTCATTTTAAATTATAATATGAATATTATTGATGCCTAAAACATAAAAATATTAATCATAATATTAGTCCTAATATACTAACAAATGCTTATACAAGTAACATTTAATATTCGAAACTATTAGTAAAATGCGACTTGGTATTTTATTTATTCGGTTTATTATAGCTTTTTCCATACCGATCGCGAACCCAGATACAAGTATATTATAGTTGCTAACGTATAATATGCAATAATAAAATTAAAATGCAAGGATTAATTACTATAAGATGTCATAGGAGCCCAGATTCAATGTTTGAATAATGCAAAACCCGCATTCAATTACATTGGCAATCTAGGTATCGACTTAAGTACTAAGTTATAACGTGCAACGCTATTCTAAATTTAAATATCATCGTGCGAGAGAGACAGACAATTTGCTTTGGTCTTGTGTTGTGCCCACAACGAAGATTAATACTACTAGATAAACATTATTACTGTTGTGTAAACCGAACAGTTTAACTTATGCATTCTCCTATGCCGTGAAAAAATAGAATAGTGAATAGTAGAAAGGATACTAAACTTATTATATACGTAGTATTGTCAAATAATGAAATATGAATTTGATTCAACTGTAACGATGATTCTTGAAAAAGTGCACATATTATCCTTCAAATATGTATTTTCTTTTTATTCAAATTTCAAAATAATAAAGATATAGGTGTAGTAATAAATTACCAGTGTGCTTAGCATTAGTCATTAGTGTTTTAGCAAGCTGATATTAAACACTTAGTAATAACCACTTTGCCACTAAATTTCTCTAATTAATTGCAGAAAAAATATTATATTTCCATATGCTAAGTTGCACGAACGAGTGGAAACGTTAAGTTACTATTACTCTTTATACAATAAAATCTAGTAAATATGATCTATGGCACTGAGACTTGTCCTGCGCACACGCCGCCCCCGCCCCGCAGCTACGCTACCCGCGTGCGTAAACGTGACCCCACGCTTGAACTCTACGACAGAACTTTTTCTTCTTTTATACTTCGTCTTGTTTTGATTCTATACACGATTGTGTGGGTCTATCGTATACTCATAAAATAATAGCGTTATCTATAGGTTTTTAAATTAAATCCAAATAATTGGTGTGATAAAATAAATAAATATGTATTGGAAAGCAAGCATTTGGGACCTGGATATTCTGAGTTAATAATTTTGCAAAATGCGTAGGCGCATCTCCGTCTTGTTCTTTCAAGAAATGAAATTTTAATTTCTTCACTCACTCTCTCCGGTGAATCTGCGACACAAAATGTGTTATGTCCTCAAAATCGAGAAACTTCAGAAACTTAAAAATCTGTTGAAATTGCTATTTAATATGAAGATAGATGATGTTAAAGTTAATGTATAATACTTTTGATAATATAGCTTAAACTGTTGTGAGAGATGGCAGTGAATACAATAGAAACTTTTCCATTTGCAATGATGGCGTTATACTTTGGTTGACAGATATGTCAAAAAATTCAGGGTGGCTAGTATTTATGTAGCTTATAAAATTGTTTATTTATAAACACAAAAATCATGTATTATAAATAGTACTATATTATAATTAATATTTGTATTAAATCCAAAAATATTGTTTATATCATGCCATGTTTCTATAATCCATAAAATATATATTTAAATAAAAGGTGAGTATTACCTTTTGTGTATATTTTTTTTTATGAAAAACCATTGAAAGTCGTAAATTTGATTAAGTTTATATGTTGTTATAGATATCCCAATGGAGCAAATTTTTATGATAGAAGTATTCGTAAAAAAAATCATTTTAAAAATTGAACCTCCAGAAAAAGATGAATATGAATTGAAATTAGAAGCTGAAGAAAAAAGAAGAGAAGCAGAAGCCCTAGCAGCAGCAGAAGCGGCAAAGAAGGGTAAAAAAGGAGCTAAGCCACCAAAACCAAAGAAAGGCAAAAAAGGTAAAGAACCTCCAATGCCTTCCGAAGAAGAAATGAAGTTCATGCAAACCTGTACAATGCAAATGCTGTGTCTGCCGCTCTTTGACTTTTACGTTGCACATGACAACTTCATAGCCCCGCCTCCTCCTCCTCCACCAGGAAAGGGAGGAAAAGCCAAAAAACCACCGAAGCCCAAAGGTAAAAAAGGAAAAGCTGCGCCGATAAAAATAGTTTTGCCCTCAGAACCCTTACCACAACCTCCATATTTTGGTGTCGGTAATTCTGTTATGTTTCTATCTAGACCATCGAAGTTAGAGGAAATGTTAAAAAAAACGCCAGTTTATATTACGGTATGGAACCGAGATCAAGAAATGAACTGTGTTGGTTTTTGTGTCGTGGAATGGCACGAATCGTTTTTTGAATGTCTTAAAAAAATTGAAGAGCTAAATCCAGTCGATATGGACCAAGCAGAATTCAGAAGTACGGGTAAGCCGAGCATGGCAACTAATACGGTGGAGTTAATAAGACCGATACAATGCGAGGAAGATTTAAAACCGTCTGGTGAGATTGAGTTTTTCCTTCGATTAACTTGCTTGGGTAATCGACTGGTTACATATTTTGTTGCTTTGCCCGAAATGGAAAGGTTGCCAGGTCGTAAATATTTAAATGATGAGCTGAAGTTGAAGGACGTGGAAGTTGTAAGGCACTGGGAGGGAACAACGATTGACGCTGTCCCGCCAGTTGCTTACTTCTTTGGTGCTCCCGATATCTGCAGAGAGCCAATTCGACCAGTGGAGGAACCCGTAGTTTATGATGACTATGAAGCGCCATTTACTTCAAGTGAGTTAGCTATTCTCGCTATGGGCTTTCCAAAAGGGCCGTGTGGTGGTACTAATTGCCCAAAACGAATGGACTATAGAGGAAGCCAGCACCAATTTATTCCGGGAGAAAAACAAAGAGGAAAGCCATACAAGTCAGGACAGTTTGTTAACAAAAGAGATGTTCACGGACCGTGTGGTAGACTGGATTGTCCTTTAGCCAAAAAAGTTCGTTCATATTTATGTTCTGAAGGAAGTTACAAACCATGTAAAAAACCATGTTGCACTGATTACTATTAAGACGAAAATATTAATAATATTAAATTCGTGTTTTGTTAGAGGCCTTAAATCAATACAATAAACGGTAAATAAGAACAATGCTAATTGTTACTTTCTCTTTTCGTCTGGAATTATTTGGGTCGGATTTTAATTCGAATATAATTTTGGTAGTAAATGATTCACTGGCGTTACGAAGATGAAAGTGCAGTGTCAGATTGCAATAACGGTTCTGAATATCCTTTGTTATTGACTTAGACCTAATAAATAAATAATGAATGTACGAAACCTTATTTCGGTAACTGGGTGATTTATTTGCTAACATAAAGATTAGTGATAGCCTTATCAAGCTAAGTACTACTAAGCATCCTCAATATGTAAAAAACAAGAAGAATTAATTAATTTTAATGCAAAAGTTACCTTTCTATTTTTGAAATAAATAAAAATTATGATGGGAGTCTGATATTATGAGAAACGATACTTATTTACTCATAATATCTATGCAAACCTCTCTGGCGCCAATATACCATTCAATTATTCTCAGAATAGTGCTAAAAAACAAGTGCATAGAGAGAAAACACAAATTCCAAGAAACGATCATCATTTGTGATATAGGATTAACAAAGTCTTCACGTCTTACGATGTGTCCTTTCCACATTAAAACGAATGAAGAAATTTGAATTGTGATCTTTATTTCTATAGCACTAAGAATTATTTTGACGGCACAAATAAACTTGTAAACGAAATCATTAGGATCATTATGACGTCGGGTAATTTACACGTTACGCTCGATGCCTGTGAACAAGTATCGTAATTAGGACAGTTAAAAGGTTTAACGATATAAGTGCATTGTTTATTGTTTTGGCAACTTGCAAGATTTATAAGATCTCAGATAATCTCTAAGAGGACATTATAAGGACGTAAGAGAAAGTGTACCAGCGGAAATAATCATTCAAATCTTCTTAATAGTTATAAAGGAGCTAAATTTCTATGAAGTAATTGTTATGGCACTGCATTAACGTCCAACGAATAGGTTAGTTGTCGAGACAGTGTCTAACATTTACACAAATTTGACAAGATTATTATTTCACAAGCAGCTAAATCTTATAAGATATAGGAAACATTTTATTATATAGGTCGCTCATATCAATTATTTCGTATTCGTTGATAAGCTATGGTCGTAAAGAATCTTCTGAATCAAGCATAATGCATAATGGTGTCATTGTTGCTAATGATTTATCAGGTCATGTCACATAAACTATGTAATTGGAACATGTGATTGACACTTTACGTTATCGTATTACTACAAAATTGATATTGTTAGTCATATTGACTATACTTTTGAACCACAATCAGTGTATTTTTTGTAACTTTAAATAGTATCAGTTTCATTGTAGCATACAACTATATTAAGAAAGATATTAGATATGAGAAGAAGGTTTCATAATTGCATACAGATACTAATATTATATATTTAAAATTAAAAATGAGAACGAGTATTTTCACACGAATATATTGAGATCTTACATCTTGTTGTGAGAAGAAAGAAGTATTCGCTTTTTAACTTATATTCAAAATACAATAGATAATATAATTTTTATACTAATATTATGTTTTAATCGCATATTTAATATTTTCTTAACATGTGAACGTCTTCTACGAATGTATCTATGTACTATATTATTCCTTTTAGGTTTTTAGCACGGAAAGTTATATGAATTTACTAGTTTTACTATTAACAAAGAAAACACTTTTTGCTTATTGTTATTCTGTCACAAAGTAATTTATTCAAATTATAACAGACAATGCAATATTATGCGTTTATCCACGTTTGATAAGCTTCAAGGTCTTTTACTTAGTAAGTAGATGTATAGATATTAACTTTGTATCAATATATTATGTCATTTGCTGTGTGATAGAAATGTTTGAATTTTATGTAGGACTAATGGCATTGTTCAAAAAAAGTAGTTATATATATAAAGAATATATTTTTATATCATGCCTTAAATAATACTACGGTAATATCTGACACATCCATAATGGCGGCTGGCTTGATGTTTGTGTGAGTTTTTATATTTTAATCATTAAAACAATTACATAGGACAATATATAACATAATATGTATATGACTAACGGTATTGGTGGCCCGTCCAATCAGACATTTTGTCTTATATGTTGGAGTTTTCCATGACCACCCGTATGAAATATTCTTTGTAGTAGCAGTTTCTTTAATTAGTCCTGCAAATACATATGTTTTAAATATCTTACTTTTTCTAAAACATGTAGAAACACTTTAAAGCTGTCATCGTTATACAATAACGAATGATTCACATAACGCCTTGTTAAAACTAATAGCAATTAGAATACTACGAGAAATCGGACTGCCTTAACTGAGTACCAGCAATCTTCATTTGTACTATACAAATTATTGTCTATATAAAACCGATCAGTGAGTCATATACCATACGTCGACAATAGCGATGGTCACTAATTAGATGATTCATCATTTGAAATGACATAATCATAGGCTTTCTATTGCTTTATGATGTACTGGGAATAATGAGAGCCTATATTTAAAAACCGTTAAATACACTTGACCCTGACTTTTATTTGTGATATGTTTGGTTTCTGGAATGCTTTGTATAGTGTTAATCTTTTTACGATAATTACAATTCAGTTAAGGATTATTTTTTAACAATGTTCGCACGATATATACTTAAAAGTCTAGTCTAAAATGTCGCGGTCATTTGGAAGGAAAGGGTAAGTTAGCCTCCAGGAAGGCGAAGTGAAGTACCTACCATCAGCAAAGCGAGATGGTACTTCACTCGGTACTATCAACCGCTGTCTTCGCCGTATTCTGGGTATCTACTAGCCCGAGAAGATCTCTAACGAACCACTTTGGGAGCACTGACGAGAAACCCCGATGAGCCAACAGATCAAGCGAAGTACGTGGAAATGGATAGGCCACACATAAGAGATTCCAATTATATTGGGGAAATATCAGGCGCTTAATTGAAACCCGCAAGAAAAGTCGAAGCGTAGCCATCTCAAGCAAACCTAGCGTCTTATAGTTGCAGATGAGGCAAAGAGAGACGAAAAGACTTAGAGCGACAGTCCCTGTAAAAGCAATCTTCCCCATTAAGGCTTTTTAGGAGATTAAGTAAAGTAAGTCAGAGAGTTTTGTAGCAGCAGTTACCGCTGGTGGTGGTGATTCGTCTGTATAGTTCCCAGGTTTTAAATTTAATAATTTTCACAGCCTCGAGTAGGACTATTTTTTATAAGCCAAAAAATATGTACATACATGAAACCTACTTAATTGGAAATAAACATAAAATCTGATTTTTTTCTAAGATAAATGAGTCATATCATTTCATAGTCGTAAGACAAAATTAAAAATCTAATTTGTATCATTGTTAATTTTGTAACTTGATCAACATTGACCATAAAACAAAGTGATATGCAAACATATCATGGAGTTGTTTGAACAATTGGTCATACACTTGTTCGTACTTAATATCTATGTTCGTATTTACATACGGGGCTATTGCTGACAAAACAAATCGGTGCAAAGTTAAGGGCCATTTACAAAAAAAGCTTATTGCCTATTGCACATAATATATGAAAGAAGGGTTTAGTATTACTACGACGTTTTAAAATAGTGGCGAAATATATAATTATCGCTCAAATAAAAATGTATGCTTCTTATAATTCTTCAATACAATTTGTATATATTTTACACAACAAAATGTACTGTAATGTTATTATTTAACATATTAACACGAAAAACTTCAAATAGTTTTTATTTATAAATAAAAATGTTTATTTATGGTGATATTTATCCTAGTTCAATTTGGCTTATTTTTACTTAAGCATTTAAAAAATCAAAATTATTCAAATGAGTAAAAACTTTGGTCTCAATTAAAAGACTGTCAAAATACTTTAAAAAACTTCATGTTAACAAATGATTATTGTAATAAATAAGTAAAACACATATAAATATTTTATTCCATAAACCCTTAGAAGCCTCGCTTTTATACGGCGTAGCCGAAACGACAAAGGTTAGTAATAAGCTTTGTAAAATAAAGCTCTAAGTTGACCTTAATATGAACTTTACCGCTTTTTATTATTGGTATAGATTAATAAGGCAAACATATCCTAAGTCATCTATTAACGTACCCACAAATATATCTAATGTCTTCCGTTGTGAGATTGTTTGGCGTGAGTCATTCGGCGCTTGCGCAGCTTACAGGATGATGAAAATATACATAATGTTACTTCGATTATTATTTTACAATTAGTGACATTTTTAAAAATCGAAATTGTCTATCCATTTATTATATAAAAATGATCAATAAAAATGTAGAAATTTGAGGCCAAACCCAACAGTTAACCAAAAAAGTAAACTTTAGACAAAATTAATATTGTGAATTAGTTTTATTGATGGAGTATGTTTTATGTACGTCTAAATCAGTTTATACGAAGGAAATTGCAAAGTGTAATCCGACTTTACGATCTGATCACAAACTAAATTAACATTGACACAAACCGACTGGTCTAGACCAAGTGTACACAAAATAAATGATGAAAAAACCTACATATTAGTTACGTTAATTTAGAGAATGATAAGTTAAATTTAATATATTATGTAGTAAAAAGTACCGTCAAAAATCAATTAATTAAAAATAAATAATTTATTATGTAAAATAATATTATAGTCCAAATGAGATGTTTCTGATAATTAATTTAAAACAGCATAATTTTCTACAAGGCATTTGGTTTAATTGCGTATCAGAAAAAAACTCGTGAACTTTTTTACTGGAAAATTATTTAAAACTTAATTGGATATTAGAACATTCTGTATAAGATTCTGATGCAACAGATAAGGTGCGTACACAATTTTTTTCACAAACGGTGCCTGTGCGTACCTAGCACCGTTCTACTTCGAGTGACTCACTAAGATAGAACCAGAAGGTGTGGAGATGTTTTGAATATTAATTTAATTTTGGCAGATTATGAAATCATGG